ATCCTTGAACTTCAACGAACATTTAAAAAAAAGAATTGCCCAAATTGGTCCAGGCGTTGTTGAGTTATTCGCTTACCAACACATTTTGCGATTCATTTTTATATTATAGATGATTCGTGTCAAAGGTTATACCAATTATAATAGTAAAATTATGAAACATTTCCTATATGATCATTTAGAATAAAGTCGATTTAATTTTTTGTTTTACCATCTGATGACCACCATGTCCATCTGTTAATGGGATTTTTTGGAAGAGAGTTCACTAACTTTAATTCTCTGACTTACCGCGCACTGAAAAATTGTTTCATTCTCTCGTTACAGGATCAGACTCCAACAGGGCCACGTGTTGCAACGTTATCTCTGCTTTGTATTGTTTCTGTCTTTCCGTTGAAGTGACTGATAATGAAATTGAAATTGAGATTCCACAATTTTTGTTGAGTTTCTCGTAGAACTCTTCGATTTGCGCTTCCAGACAAGTAGCGGTCGCTCCGTTTACTTGGATCACTGCCAGCCGTGTTTAATATAACGTAACCATCTTGCTGTGTCATTGATCGTTTAAAGTTACTTACCAACGATTTACTGAATGCGTCGGTTTACCTTCACTTGATCTTCTTCTTGTTATTTGAAAAGTAACTCTGCTAATGAAGACCTCTTCTGTGTTTGTAAAATCACAAGATAACACTTAAATTCATCACATGCTGTAAACGTCTGTTCATCCGGCTATCATTTGCAACCAACCATCTTAAAGAGATTATCTGAAATATCATTGATGATTTAGCTTTACATTTGGGAGTTCCCTTTAATATTTCATCTTCATACGTTTAATAAAACAGCTTGAAGTGAAATAACAATAACGTGAGAAAGCTATTTTCGTGTCAACTTCCACTTCCTTTTTACGTTCGAATACTGCCTGCTTTGGCTGTAAAGAGCTAACCATTTTTGGCACCTGCAATAAAGGATTTTAGACCTAATAATCCGATGTCTATTCACAACCATATTAACGTGTTAACGGTATTCGTAATGTATCACAATGTTCATTATTTTTGTATGGTCAACAAACCAATGTCATCAATATCGATTCCAGAGTAACCAAGATCTTCGCCCATCTTTAGTAATTCTTTTCTTCTCTCCATAATGACCTGAAATGATTAAATTAACTGGTTGAAGATGTCTGAGATATCAAAAAAGAACAAGAAACATTCGAACAACTTGTCCCTTACTCGGTCGGTGGTTCCATGCAGCACTTCCAAACACTTCTTGTATCTGCGACCAGCTGTTGTCATATAAAATATGAAGTCTAGATGCAGCCAAGGTTGCAGGGCACGCCTTGCTGTAATTGTTGTAATCCTGTTGACCCAGAACATCGTTTAGTATTTTTTTTATATTTAAACGTGATTAAATAACAATGCTGGAAATTGATGAGGTGTTTACGACATTGGAAGTAGATATTAGGCGTTGTTTTCTCGTTAGTGTTTATTTTTCCGTAAGGCTTATTCGGCGACATTCCAGCCATCTTCAGTGCGATTTTGAGGCGGCTGGGGGTTCCGGCATAGACTAAGGAGGTATATATCATTACTCTATGGTTGCGGTACAGCAAAACAGGCTACAGCAGAATTCAACAACCTACAGATGGATTGCGAATTAAGGGGAGTCAATATGAAAAATCGGAAAACATTGACATTTTTAGAATTTAGTTTCATTTGATTATTTTGAGATTTCTGAACAATTTGATATAGGCTTTACGGTGTTTCCTGTTATTGAATGTGTGTTATGGCTTTGTTTCAGTGTCTGCATCTGACAAAATGGCTGCAGAGTTCGACATGCAAAGTTTTAAATAGATACAACTTCGGAACTAATTCATATTGAAGGCTGCGGTTCAATTCACAACTTTCGGAACGTTTTATTTCAAATATTGCATGCACGTCATTTGATTGTTGTGATGTGTGTTTGTTTTCGCGCGTTGTGTTGAGAAGGTAATCGTATTTATTTGTCGTTTTTATACGGTGTCTCAATTTTCTGTAAAAAAAAGTAATAGAAGCAAGAAGATTGTTCGCAAAATGCAAATTTAGAGAAAATAAACACACAAAAAAATCACAAGAATGTAATGAAGATTTGTGGAATAAAAATTTAGAGAATAGGTTACATTGCGAATTAAATTTAGAGCAGTAAGAGACATCTCAAAGTGCTTTTAAAACAAAAATGAATTGAAGTTTCTGTAGCAGATATAAATATCAATGATACGTTATGGTATGTTTTAATAGATTTAAGAGATTTAGAAGACATTATGTGTAGTTATTTGGAGGATATCACTAGATAATATACTACACACTAGTGATTTTTGCTCTGGCTAACTTTAAAGGTTGTTTCTAAAAAACTACATTTTTTTGGACGAATGTTCCTTTTTCTCCAAATCTACTCATACAATGACAATGGAATTTCTACAGCAGGTTGAAATATAGACAGTGATGGTTCATTGCGAGACTTACCAATTTTACTGTACAAATTCATACAATACATAAACAATGTGTGTGTGTTGTTTCGTGCTTAATGCGCTGCCGTGCCGTTAATACGATTAAATAAAACTTTGTCAAATTACTGCTAGCACTGGTGGGAAGAATACAGACAAAATATTATAGAAATGCGCGAGTGCCCTCGCACATAGGCGCGCATTGATGATTTTATGCTGACTCTTGCACCCTTAACAGGGCGCTCTAAGTAACGGCGCTTGACGCAACTCAATTGGAGCAATTTTTGAGAAATTGGAGCGATTTTTGAGAAATGTTTTCGAATGTAGCGTCGAATAAAGCCAGATCGACGGGAAAATATCGATTTTGATCGTACGTATGGTTTATGTGGTAGTTGTGTTCACTGACTGACAGACAAACGGACGGACAGACGGTCGGAGGGACGGACTGACGAACGAACGAACAGACGAACGAAAAAAAGCACTTATTCGGTATTACGAGACCCCCAAACCGTGTATTTCCGTTGAAATCTTGAATTCGGTTTGCCGCTTTCCCTATACTACGTCTGAATATTACATAACTTTCCCTATACTCCATATATACGTATGTATACGGTTCTCACACAACTATGGAGTTCTTCTGAAATATCGTTTAGATCTTCACAGAGGATAGCTTTACCCCTACATGATTCGGTTTTTCAAAGTTAAGCAAAATGGCTGATCAATTACGGGAGTGAGAAGCAGGAGAATACTAGAATAAGAGTGGACAAAATATTTACAAAAGAACTTAATTGCAGGAATCTTAACACTTACTCGTTTACAGCGTCTACGTAGGCTTTGTTTGAACCAATCTGTGCGTTCATCTTGATTCCCATTGCGGTTTCTGCAATAGTAAATTGCCACATATCAGTATATATATATATATATATATATATATATATATATATATATATATATATATATATATATATATAAACACTATAATAATAATAATAATAATAATAATAATAATAATAATAATTACTATTATTATTTTAAAACGCAGCAACTAACGAATGAACAGGAAGCCCTTTTTAGGGAGTGACAAGAATTGACCAAAAATAAATATTAATCATTAGAAATAAGAGATGGCAAGAAGAGAAGATGTGATTTGTCTCCGATATTCGTTTCTCCAAAAATAAGTAGTTTAATATAAAATAACTAAAATTATCAAAAAAGATATCTCAGAATACATTTTAAAAACCTCACACCACAGCATATTGGGAGTCGAAAATTATTACTTTTGCCAAAAATCGTGAGATGCAAAATTTCATGTAACTAAATCATACGACATATATTTGCATTTTTTTAAGGGGAACACGTTTTGAATAACTATTTTGCAGGTAGAAAAAAAAATTATTTCAGTGCGCACCCGCATAACGAATGTACGAATGCACGCGGCCTAACAATCGGGGAAAATGGTCACAAGTGTTAACTATGTAACAAAAGATTTGCCACTATATGATCATTTGAAATAATTTAATAGTTCTGACCGTCCTTTAGATCCTAGAAGTTGGTCACATTCATCATATAGGGTTATCATTTCAGTTTTATTATTTTTTTTTTTTTTTTTTTTTATTTTTATAAGTATATTATAATATATATATATAGGTTATATAGCCAAATTGCGTAATTTTAAATAAATCGCCAAGGAATCCTTTTTAGAGTAACAAAGTAGCATATGGGAAGAGAAGGATTAAAGAAATAAGGATGAGAAAAGACAGAACTCGCCGTGAATTTGATTGAGGGTAGAGCAACTTCACAAACAGTATGCTCTTGAAGATAGCTCTGATACTGGAAGGAAGATAAGCAGACAAGCAGAGTAAGAGAAGGGCTTCACCGCAAATGACGTCGACTGTAAGCATCTTGACGAGAGGCAAGTCGAAGGTGGCTCCGCGAGCAGGGAGGCAAGGAGAGAAGCGGGGTGAAAGAGGATCTAACCGCAGACGGCGTCGAGTGTGAGGAGCTTGACGAGCGGCAAGTCGAAGGTGGCTATGTGAAGAAGGAGGTAATACGAGAAGCGGAGTAAGAGAGGACCTCACCGCAGATGACGTCGAGTGTGAGGAGCTTGACGAGCGGCACCACGTCGAAGATGTCGCCGCCCGCGCGCTTCCGCAGCTGCCGCACGAACTCGTCCCCGCAGCTGAGGAAGACGGGCGCGAACTGCTCCAGGATGCGGAAGTGGAAAGTGGACGTCAGTGCCTTGCGCCGCGACCGCCACTTGTCGCCTGCGCACAAACAAACGAACCTGCAAACGACTTCGCATGCGCTCGTGCAAACTGCCAAAGGCCCCCTTAAAACACCATGGGCAACGTTTCAATTAAATACATACTGACCTCCAATATAGTACCGCTCTTACTCGACCGCTCTTCTTTTATGACCTTGATAGACCTTTGTGTGAGACCTCAACGACAGCGTATTTTATCGTAGTTTGTGTGGGATAGATGGTAGCTGGGAAGAGGGTGACGCAAAACCGAAAAACTAACTCAGACCCAATACATTGGAAAACTAACTAGTACGAGAAAGTCTGTACCATTTAGTTGCATTACTAGTTTACTGAACGTAGCTGCATTTAAATTTAAAGTAAATCTTATTTGGGAGAAAGTCTCATTGCGAAACAAACGTTGAAAAATTTTGAAAATTTCCTTTATTTAAAAAATATACACTAATATTTTTCAAGATCTACCTTTAAAGAATCTCTATATTCAATATTGTAGTTGTAGGAAGACGCCGAAAACAAATTGAACTTTTCTTTTTTTCGAAAAATCAGAGATTTCGACGAGTTGCGACAAAATGAGACCTGAATTATTATGCTGTTCGCAATCCTTTACTTTATCCGTGGATACAGTTTTATTAAGAAGAGTGGAGCTATTTTTGAGAAAATTTTGAAAATACTTTCTCGCCTTACGAATTCTTCGTAGGAGAAAGTTATATAAACGTGCGCCAAAAAACCAGCGAATTAAATAAAAAAATACTTTTATTGGCGGACTCTGCGAACAAAGAAGTGAATTAATACTATTAATAAATTGAGAAAAAATCTCTCACATGTGGGGTAGCCAGAATCTATGTATTGTGGGTTCTTGATACCGAAAAATCGATTAACGGCAAAACGTCTTCTATCCGTCTCTAGCCAACGCTAGTGCATAAATTTTCATCCAATTTTCTTCAAAACTGATATCCCCCATCGGTCTGAATGAACACATGTCTTTGGGATTTTCAAATGCATATTTTGTTTTTTGAAGGTACTTTACATGAAGCCTCAAAAACATATTAAAACTTTTCTCAAAACGGCCAATTTCTTGATCAAACTTTGTCCTCGGATAGCGTACAAAACGCTAGGGTACAATGGTGGTAGTCACATGTTCGTTGATATCACAGATTTTTTGAAAATTGATGATTGATATTGTGATTTTTTCTTTGCCTGTGTTGTCAAAAATCAGCTGTTTAAAAAAGGTCATGCACATTTTTTTTAATGAGCTGCTTTCACTTAATTAGTGTTGGAAATATATGCACAATTTCTAAAAATATTATTTTCTAAAAACTCGAACAAAATATTTTCATTAGTTTCTCCGCTAATTGTAAAATAAATAAATATAAGAATTGACTAGTGGTGCTATAGAATGGCGCAGGCTTTCTTGCCATAGTCAGTTTTCTAATATCTGGAATATCTTTCTCGGAGTGCCGGCAGGTTAACTCTGAGTAACCGAGTTCGAGTCTCGGAGAGGAAAAAAAATGTTGGTTGAAAATACTTTTGCTAGAGTATGTAGTAGTATAATATTGCGGAGCATATAAAGCAATGCGAGAACGTTGTGCTTTGGTAGCACCCCTAGTTCGTAATTGGAACCCGGCAATAAGAATTTTTCTGTCGAAAATTCCAGGATGATCTTGCGCACGATTACAATACGTACTCTTCTTACGGAAGCCAAAATTGTGTCAATTTTCCAGAAAAATTTGTAAATTTTCCCCGAGCTACATTTAAATTACACTCACTCCAAAAATATCTTAATTATCTCCAAAACGGTACGTCTTGATCTTAACCCTGACGTATTTACCGTAAATTTGGGCTCAAAGAATAACACGTCTATTCATACAGACAACCTGATTTTCGGATACAAAATTGTCTCTATTTTCTCACCACAAACATTTATCAACACTTTTTTTGGATCAGCGCTAATGTAGTGCCTTAATCCTGGCGTGTGTATGAAGTTATGACTCACAAGAACTTTAAACATTTTTTTACGACCGAATGTTCGAGATATGTTGATTCCAATACTATACTATACTCTATTATAAGTAGGAAGAGTAAACATGTGTATGACTAAACAAACGTATGAATACAATGAAATTGTTTTACTTACCTGTAGAAAGTAGCAGCCCTGATCCCAACCACGTCCCAAGAAGTGTATTGTAGAAGAAGCTCTTGGATAAATACTTGTATCCAGAAAGAATAACCTGAAAATGGGAAGAAAGTAGGAAACTCGCTTTACTTCAGAAGCATAAACATTCTTCTATTATTTTAAAATTTTCAATATTCTTAAATCCAGAGACTTCAACGTAAATAAGACCTGTGCCATTATTTTAAACGTTCCTTGTTCTATTCGTGGGAAAAATGAACTTTGGAGCGGTTTTTGAAAAATGTTTTTATTTATTGCTTAAATTTCACGCACAAACTAGGAAAAAATACTTACCCATGTATGACGCCAAATTTCGCAAAAAATTCTCATGTTTTTGAAAAACTGAACATGATATATTTAGATACGTTTTTCATGAAATCATTCCATTAGGAAATAAAATGGTTAACTTCATAATTGTAGTTGTAGGAAGACGCCGAAAAAAATTGAATTTTACAACTTTCGAAAAAGCAGAGTTTTTAAAGAACATGAGACCTGCAAAGTTTTCTTAAACGTCCAACAACAAAATTTTACCCAAAACAATGTAGCCATTTTTTCGAAAATTTTGAAAATGTCCCTGGGTCTTCATGTAAAGTACTCTCCCCAAATTAAAATACGGAGAGACATTTTGCCGTCAATCGATTTTACGGTATCATGGACCCACAAAACACGGATTCTGGTTACACAACGTGTTATAGGGTTTTTTCCTAAATTTAACAGCAGATTTATCCACTTCGTCACTAGAGCCTGGCAAGCGGCAGCAAGAAAGTAAACACTTTAGAGCCAATATTGAAAACTTTGGGATATGACTTGAGGATTTATGTACAGTACCCTCAAAAATAAAAATATCCGTTTAAACTCTGAAGAATTCGAGTTCCTTAAATCGAACGAGGAATATTAATTTTGGAGAAAATCCGTTGAATGGTTTTGGCGCTATCTTTGAACATTGACAGATGAACAGATGTTTTGCCGTTAATCGATTTATCGATGCGAAGGGCCGACAAAATATGAATTCTCTCTACACAACGTATTAGAGGAAGTAATATACTATACATAGGAATCCACTATACATAGGAATTTATCCACTTGTCCGTTATCTAGGCCAAGCAAAAAAGGTTTTTTCTGTCAAGAAATTCGCCGTTTCCGACGCCCGATTCACTACTTTCTTTTTATACTCATAAGGGCAAGAAAGTAAAAAATCAGCTTTTTAAAAATGTGTACAAATTTTTAAAAAAAACAGTAGTTTTTAAGAGAGAGAAAGTGAAAAGAACGGACACAATCTGTTAAGAGTAAGTAATTTAAATGATCTTGGCTGTCCGGGTGACACCGCGTTGAAGGCTATGTTCCCGACGTTTCGGCCATCTTATCGTGGTCTCCTTCAGGGCTGGTCTGATGACCACGATAAGATGGCCGAAAAGCGAACTCTTCGCGGAGACGCTTGAACGGCAGTTCCGCCCATTCGAGTCCGGCGACTTCGGG